CCCCGCCGTCTGCTTCTGGGACCCCCTCCCAGCCGCGCCGCTCGGCACGGGCCCATCCTGGCCACAGGCCACAGCCCGGAGCCAACTCCTGGCCAGGACACTCGCCCGCAGCCGGCCAATGCCTTGAGGACAGGGCTGCCCCAACCTCCCTAATGCTGCGATGACCACCAGCCCCGTCCGTGCCCGGGGGTCGCCGCTCCCCAAGCCCAACACGGATGGAGAGCAGGCGAGCGCAGCGCCACGCAGCTGACGGGAAGGAGGAAACACCCCGGGCAGCTCCGTGTCACAGCCCAAAAGCACGTTGCAGCACCACAACCTCCCAAACGGGGCCAGGGCCAACCCAGCATCCAGCCAGACACCCCGAGGGCAGCAGCGGGGGACAGGACCTGGTCCCAGCGCGCCCCATCCCCCTCGAGCTGACGTGGGAGCAAGGCTGTGGTTCAGCCCCTGCCTCTGGCAGGCCACGGTGGGCAAGCGTGCGGGGGCGCAGGCAGCCCTGCCCCGATCCCGGCATGCTTCCACCTGCCCCCAGACAGGGACACGGCCTTCAGGAGCCACGAGCGAGTCTGGTGCAGCTGCGTCCGCAGTGACCTCCCCGTCCTCCCCGAGCCGCACGCTGGCACCGCGCAGACTGCAAGCCCGGGAGCAAGTGGCACAGAGCAAACCGAACCTGACAGCGCGCCCCAGCCTTGGGGCAGAGGGCTCGGACTGTGCTCAGCCGCTCCTCCCAGACCGTGGGATGTGCCAGCCACAGCCTCAGTGGCTGCCTTGGCTCGGCACCGTGGGGGGACAGCCCAGGAGGATGCACGTGGGCAAAGGAACGAGTCTTCCCTTTGCATTTGCAGGGAGCAGGAGCTAGACGATGTTGCTACCGCAGGGCAGGGGGGTCAACGGCCACGCGGTGCTGAGCAGTGCGCTCAGGACCATTCCCCCTCCAGAAGCCAAGAGCAGATGCCAGGGAATCCTCTCCGGTGCTGCAGGGTGCCTGGCCCCTCTCCTGGGAAAGCAGGGGGCAGGGGCAGGGGGCTGGGGCAGGGTCTGAGCAAGGCTCGGAGACGGGGAGCGAGTGCCAAGGCCTCCTGCAGCACGTGGCTCTGCGCAGGCAGGAAATGCCAGCCGTGCCCAGGCCAGATGCCAGAGCCGCCTGCACCCATGGGAGACAGGGCTGCCCTGGCTGGAGCTGGCCCAAGGACAGGCTCTTCCTCACCGTTGCTTTGGCTGGAGAACTCTTCATGAACCCACTGCTGATGGGGAAGGGACTTGGGGCTCTTACACCAGCTCCCTGTGCCTTCGCTGCCCATGCCCAGCAGTGCCCCACATCACAAACCCCACGCGGGAAGGGCTGCCACGCACCCCAGACTGATCACAGTCTGGGCCCGCGGAGCTGCTGCCAGTCTGTGCACCGGCATCCACTGCCCCCCCGTCCTTTGCGGGGGCGAGGACACTCCTCGCGCTGTCCCTCGAAGGCTGCGAGCGAGATCACAAGACACGGCACCCGCAGAGGCAGCGAGAAGCAAGGGAGCAGTTTCAAGCCTCCAGCTCAGAGGTAAAGCCTGGGCAGTCACATGAGTGACACAGCACGAACTTGGGACGAACTTGAACTCTTCTCCACCCGGCCCTAGAAACGCGAGCAAGAGACGCTGTCTATCCGTGCCGCCGTCCGGCTCTCACAGGTACCTGTTGATATTGTCAATGGAGGAGCCCAGCACTGCCCCATTGACCAGTGGGGGAAACTGAGGCACGGGAGGGAAGGGATGGCAAGGTGGTGGCAGCGCTGGGAACATCCCATTGCTAGCCCCGGGGCTCGGGCCCCTGCGCGGGGGTGCAGGAGAGGCAGAAGCAGGTGTGTTGGTGCACAAGGAAGACTCGGCACCAGGCCAGGGGCTCCTGACAGCAGATACTTCCTGCGAAGGCCTTGCCCTCCCACAGCTCCATGCAGGCAGGGACAGCAGGTGAAGCACCCAGGGCCTGGGAGGCATTGGCAGCTGCATCCTACATGACAAGGGCTTGGGACTGACCTCCCGCCCTGCCCTACGATGCTGCAGGGTCCCCACGGCTGGCTCCACACTGCTGGGCAACATCCCACCCGCCACCAGCTCCTGCAGCCTCAGGATGCACGCACCTCCCCGGGCCTGCCCCAAGCACAGAGCATTGAGCTCTTCTCTTCTGGCCTCAGGGGGGTTGGGAAAGGGCTGGCTCAGGCTCAGGCTCAGGCTGGGCCAAACCGGGAGCTTCTCTCTTTTTTTTAAAGACCAAATGTGGCTGGAAGAAGCGAGGACCTGCTGCAGGCAGCGAAAGCAGCCGCTCCAGAGCAGGGCCCTGCATTCGCAAGGCGCAAGCACCACCTCGTGGCGTCACACAACACAGCCCGGCAGCAGCACCAGGGAGGTTGGTGGCTCCTGTGCACACAGAAGTGCTAGAAAAATGGGCGTTAGCTTGTTTTAATGCACATTAGCTAAAGAGCACGGGTTTTTGGTGACACTTTAATGCACATTAAAGTAGGCTCATGCACATCAAAGTGCACGTGTAGACGCACCCCTTATGCCCAGCATCCACCAGGCTGCCACTTCCCACCTGCTCCATGAAGAAGCTTCTCCAGGAGCAAAGCTGGATGCGGAGCTGATTTCCAAGGGGACCGGGCGTCCACCGTGCATCACATCTGGAGAAGCACGCAGGGAGCTGGCAGCGTGCATGCAAACATGTCTCCAAGTGACATCCCTACGCAGCTCAGGGTGAAAGGCCTGTGATGCTGCCTCCTGCAGAAGCCACCCCAGCTGGCACGGCCCCGCCTGTCCATTCTGGGGGGCGTTAAAGCCTACTGAAAGAGGCTAAT